ATAGTCGCTGCCTTGAAGTGCCACGATAGTATTAGCTGCAGAGGGAGGCATGGGCCGGCATGACATGGCATGACATGGCATGATATGGCAAGGGGTGACATGCGGTGGAATGGGGTTGGCAGCAGCACGGGCTAGTCTGTGCGGCGTACGATGCATGTATGCAGTGTTTGCAACACACGGAAAGATGACATGGATGCATGTGCCTGCATAGTAGCATAAGGGAGAACGCATGCATGCCTTACCATGACAATGTCTTGAGGATCCACCTGGTGCATGTGCGTGTGTGGTGATGCATGCATGTGCATGTGCATATATAGTAGCATAAGCGAGAATGAATCCCTATATGAATGCCTGCCGCGGTGCTTACCATAACAATGTCTTGAGGATCCACCTGCCAGCCAAAAGGGAAAGAAACCATGGAGAGAGAATGGGAAAGAAAGGGTGTGTGGGGAGGGGGAAGGGGTGGATTGAGGGGCTTCGATATTGTCCCAATACAAAAGCGAAAAAACAATGGAAAGCAAAAAAGGAGGTGGAAAAGGAAGGAAGGGGGGGGGGGGGGGGAGACGGGGGGGAGAGGGAAAGGGGGACCGTAGAGCAGGAGGAGAGAAAATACGTGAATTTTGAGACCTTCGGTCCACAGTAGGTGTCGGGGCCTCAGGGGTTAACGAAAAGCAAAGGTCTGAAAAGAGGAGAAGAGTGGAAATTCCCTTAAACACTCCAAGGACGTCACTTTTCAAGGCTTGTACACACCTCGAGGTCTTCACAAAGCTTTGAAATGCCATCCACGAGAATTAAATCGCAGTGAGGGTCTGAGGCAGCGGAACGGCACAGCAGCAGCAGGGAGCGGGAAGAGGGAAACAGGCGACGGGAGTGATTTTTACTGTCTTCAACAGAGGGTGAAATGCCGTCCATCAAACCTAAATCGCAGCGAAGGTCTGAGGCAGCACAGCAGCACAGTAGCGGGGAACATGGAGAGGTCATGGGAGAGTACTGAGTCATGTTATATGGGGGATGACGGCCGTCTACGAGACTAATGCCGACATGAACGTCTGATGCGGGGGGGGGGGGGGGGGGGGGGCACAGGCAACTGACGGGGAACAGGAGAGGGAGGAGGGGGGGAGGAGGGAGGGGAGGGAGGAACGAGGGGCACTGCACAGACCCTCCCAAACCCTTCCAAAGCACTGCACATACCCTCCCAACCCAAACCCTTCCATGACACTGCACAGACCCTCTCCAACCCTTCCAGGGCACTGCACATACCCTCCCAAACCCTTCCACAGCACTGCACAGACCCTCCCAAACTCTTCCATGACACTGCACATACCCTTGCACAACAACCCGGGCCCCACCTTTGTATCTGACAAACAGATGCTCCAGCTGCCGAGGGTCCACTTTAGGAGCAGAAGAGCGCCCCAAGGCCCTCAGCTGCTGACCCGAGGTGGAGGAGGAGTAGAAGAGGTCGAACGCCAGCTCCATGTTCCACTCGCTGGCTCGCAGGGCTGCCAGTGCTCCCCGGTCGCTGCAAGGAGAGCATGGGGGGTTCGGCGAGCACAAATGGATTGATCGGGCGGAGGAGTAGAAGAGATCGAATGCTCCCCGGTCGCTGTGGAGGCAAGGCGGGGAAGAGAGGGGAAGGCGAGAGTGAAATGAGGGAGACAAGGGGCGAGAGGGGCCGAGGTGGAGGAGGAGTAGAAGAGATCGAATGCGAGCTCCATGTTCCACTCGCTTGCCCTCAAAGCCGCTAGTGCCCTCCGATCGCTGGAAGGGGAATGTGGAAGTGTTACGTGAGCAGTTGGTGTTGAGGGATGGAAAGGGCAGGGAAGGCTGCAAGAAATGGCATTCATCGCTCAGACCTTTGTGCTGCTCACCGCATGCCTGTGCTGTGCTCACCACGTGCCTGTGCTGTGCTCACCACGTGCCTGTGCTGTGCTCACCACGTGCCTGTGCTGTGCTCACCGCGTGCCTGTGCTGTGCTCACCACGTGCCTGTGCTGTGCTCACCACGTGCCTGTGCTGTGCTCACCACGTGCCTGTGCTGTGCTCACCACGTGCCTGTGCTGTGCTCACCACGTGCCTGTGCTGTGCTCACCGCGTGCCTGTGCTGTGCTCACCACGCGCGTGTTCACTTTGTGGTAGTGCTGTGCACACGCCTATGCCATTCTCACCTCGTGCCTGTGATTGCCACGAATTGCTGTACTGCCTCCTTCTGCTGCCGATTCAGACGGCTCTGGGATGGGGGTGAGGGGTGGGAAGAGGAGAGGAGGAGGAAAAAATTGAGGGATATCTGACACAGCGCGAGTGGGGAAAACAGGGATAGCCACGAATTGCTGCTCTGCCTCCTTCTGCTGTCGATTCAGACGGCTCTGGGATGGGGGTGAGATGGAGCGGGGTTGGAGGAGGGTGCGGGGTAGGGTCGGATGGGGGAACACGAGGAAAAAGGGGGGATTTGCGGGATATGAAATTATCACATGACATGACATGGTTGGGGACAACAGGGAATGCAGCAGGTGCAAACGTGCAAACGGTTGAAGGGAGAAGAGGATGAATCGGGAGCGGAAATATTTGGTAAGAAACACAGGCAGTAAACTCACACACACAAAAATGGTACGAATCACTGCACTGACTACCTCTGCTGCCGATTCAGGCAACTTACGGAAGAATTTTACGACAGAACAAGTGAAGGTTGGGAGGAGGGAAACGGGAGCAGGAAAATGGGAGAAGGAAAGGAGAGAAGGCGATTAAACGGAGTCGGAGGGGATGGGGAGGAAAGGGCGAACATGGATAGAAGAATATCAGATTGTGAGGCCATAGCACGTACACTCATTGTTGCAAAGCTGATTCGATATACGCCAATTTGATACAGTCCGCGATCTCTCCCTCTCCTCCGTCAAGCTGCCTCAGCCTTAAAACGCGTACAGAATGTTTTAAGTCACAGGAAAAGTACGGAGGTCCGCGACAGCTTTTGTAACGGCTCCAGACAATAACGAAAGAGGATCCTTCCTGTAGCGCTCTGTACCTGCTCAGGCTTAATCCGATAGGTCTTTAGCAGAACACGAAACTAACTAACAGAATTGGTCACTAGGAAAAGAACAACGATCAATCTGGCTCAAGAACCGGCGAAACTACTGGCGCCGACAGGTTGCGTTTCCTAAAACTGACGGCTCGTATGCCTTCAGTGCAGCGGCCTGGAAGCAGACAGATTCACATATGAAGGGCTCGAAATGCGGTCGAACATGCACAGTATCAGATCGGAGTGGTGGAGTATCAAACTACCTAAACGTCGGAATGATCTGCTTTATCAACCTAATAAGCACTAATCGTCCCAGTACGCGACTGGCATAGCGTGACACGAATGCTAGCGTGTGCAAACCACGTGCCGGATTCAATGCCAAGTGCGAAGACGCTGGTAGTAGGGCGGGATCTAGGAACCACGACGGGACTACAAGCTCCCTAAGAGGGAGCGGTGGGGCTAGGTTGGCGGAAATAAGAGGCACATGCACCTACTGTAATAGGAAGTATGTGAGTCAGAGAAAGAGGAAGTGCGGGGCAGGGCCATGGTCAAGGCAAATCTGCTTTCGGTTGGTTGAAAACCCTTCATTATTGTCATCAGTCGCTCGCTGCTGTCAAAAGCTCGGGAAAGCTGAACTGAAAACAACACAGCATAAGCGATTTGTGATAAAGAGAAAGTAAAATATGCACTACTGTCCAATGTGTAAGTGTACGCCCAATTTGAATATTTGAATCCCTTCAATTCTGTCCCGCACACCCCTCGAAATTGTCGAGAATCTACGGCTAGTCGTCGTCAACCTGACGCCTCGCACCTTCGAGGTTTTGCTTGGCTCTTGCGGCGCCATTCCACTACACCCATAGACTGGGATGAGCTCAGGCTTACTGATCGTTGGGATTGTTGCGGCTGTTCTGGTTAGTGTTTTGAACGAGCGTAGTAAGGAGTGGCTTTGACTTGAGTGAGCGGTTATTTGTTAGGGTTCCAGTTCCAGTTGTGGCTTTTTCGACTCTATATCGCGTTGCCAAGATAATCCAGTTCGCGATACCTCAGACTCGCGTAATATAAGGATCTATTGACTTACTGTATACTAGTATTATTCTTGTTTGCAAACCCGTTTTCGTCGGCAGCAAAGAAGTGGCCAGGGATTTCATCTGCGGTCTTGGATCCACCACGCTACAATGCCGCCACGTGGCAAGCCCAGAAATAGCTCGCGGTCACTCCCGCTTAGCCAATCCCGTCGCAAGATTCAGGCACCACTGTCGCGTTATATGTCGCAACGACCCGTAACATCTTCGCAACAGGTTTCGCCCAGTCCATCGCAGCCAGATTCATTACAGCCATCAGTTTCGCAGACCACATCACAGCCGTCCGTTCGGTTCAGACGGGACTCGCACGGAGCGGATGGCGAAACAGCAGCGCCATCATCAGAGAAAAGTGGCCACGGATTAGTTACTAGAGAAGGTGTGACCGTACGTGATGTGACTGATGAAGGAGCAGTGGGAGGATTCGCAAAAAAGCTTGGTGTGACTTCAGGAGGTGTGACATTAGACGATGTGACTTTAGGAGTTACGGCAGAGGTGATTGAGCTTGATTTAGTGCCGAGTCAGGATGACGTGTCCAAAGTGGCCGAGCCGCCACGTCAGGACCCAACGAGAAAGATGCCGTTCAGAAGTAAGCACAGTGCTCCGCAGAAGCCTCGTTTGTCGTTTTCCGCGCAGCAGCCTATCTGGTCCAGCTGGCAGCGGAAACGACAAGCAGAGCCAGTGGGTGGAGGAGGGGGAGGGGGAGCAAGTGAGGGAAGGGGGGTAAGTGGGGGAGGTTTCAGAGGAGGAAGAGGAGAGTGTGTTGGAGAGAAAGGGGTTGCGGGGAGTGGTGACGGAGTGAGAGGAAGGGAAGGAGCGAGTGTGGGAGTGGGGAGTGTGGGAGGGATAGCGTGGAGGAGCGTCAGTGAAAATGGGGTCTTCAGCGGGTTGAGAGGGCTGGATGTGACTACAATGGGGAGTGGTAATAGAGGGGGTATAGGGAGTGGCACGGGGTTTCATCCAACTGCTTGGCGGTGTGGGATACCTGCTGTGGTGAGGAAGAGGAGGATCAAAACCATTGCTGATTGGTCAGATGATGATGATGACAATGGTGGTGATGGTGATGGTGATGGTGGTGGTGGTCGTGGCATCAAGGATGCTGATTGGCTGGATGAGGACGGGGAAATGGAGGGAGAGGAGAGGGAGGAGGAAGATCAGGGAGAGCAGGAAGCGGAGGAAAATGAGGAGGAGGAAATGGAGGAGGAGGCAGGTGAGGAAGGGGAGGAGGTGGAAGGGAGTGAGGAAGCAGAGGAGGCAGAGGAGGAAGAGCAGGATGAGTGTGGACTTGAGGGGTTGAAGGAGCAGCACGTGGGAGGGTGTGAGAGGAGGAGGAAGAGGAGGCGTGTGATAGGGAGCGAGGAGGAGGAGGAGCAGGAGGGAGGAAAGGGGGTGGGAGAGGATATGGGAGAGGAGGGGGGAGGGAGGGTGCGAGTACAGGAAGCAGTTGGTACGGAGGGGGCAGGAAGGGAGGAACAAGTCGGAACGAGGGGTGGGAGCGATGATGTCAGGGATGCTGACGATGGCGACAGAGATGCTGACACTGATGACTCCATGATGACTCAGCCTGATGACGAAGCCACGTGGCAATCCCTGATTGAGCAGTCCACGCACGAAAATGATATGGAAAGTGCAAGGGAAGGAGAACGGAGGGAGGTGGATGAGTTGGAAATTTTGTTAGACTCACAAGAGGAGGACATAGGTGGGGGCGGAAGAAGAAGGCTAGAGGAGGAACAGGGGAGAGAGGGAATGGAGGCGGAGGGGAAAGAAAAGAAAGGAGGAGAAGTGGATGAGGAATGGAAAAAGAGAGGGGAAGGGGGACGACGAGAAGAGGTGGGGAATGAGGAAGAAGAGGGGAGGAAGAAGGCAGGAGGCAATAGCGAGATGGCGCAGACAGGTGCTGCAGGGAGAAGAGAGGGGAGAGGAGAGGAGGGGAGAGCAGACGAGTGGAGACGAGAGGAGGGGAGAGCAAACGAGGGGAGAGGGGAGAAAGGGAGAGGAGAGTGCGCAAGGGAAGGAAGCGAAGAGGAGAAATTGAGGGGGCGAGAGGAAAAAGTACAAAGAGATGTAGACACACGGTGTGTACAAGGCGAGGAAGAGGGGGAGGGGACCGGGATGGGCGAGTTTGACTTTGAACCGCCCTCCTTCTCCCTCCACGTACAGCCCTCTGAGCTTCAGACCGGAACTGAGGATGCCATGAACTTCTTCCCCTCACAGGGCTTGGACGCTCCCAGCTTCTCGTTGGGGCTGGAGGGTTGGGATGAGGAGGCCGCGTTGGGAGATGGGCAGGGCATGTCGGAGAGGGACGGGCAGCAAGGAGCAGCAGAGAAAGATTTTGAGTCGAGTCAAAGAAAGGTGGAGACCACAGTGGGGGATGGGGAAGTGGAGGCAAAGAGGGAAGCCTGGGAAGGGAAGAATGGGGCAGTTGGGCAGCGAGTGGCTGTGAAGTGCGGCGGTGAGAGGTGTCGTGACGATTCGTGTTGTAAGAGTGAAACAAAGGTGAAGGTTGAGGTGCCGGGTGTTGCTGTTGTTGATTCTGATTTTGCTGGTAGTGGTGGTGGTGCTGCTGCAAGTGGGGAGGGAGATGGAGGGAGGAGGTTCAGAAGGCTGCGAAAGGTTGTAGAGGTAAGGGGTAGGGTGGGTGAGAGCAAGGAGGAGGAGAGAATGGAGGAGGAAAGACAGAAGGAGGAAGGGCGGAATGGGGGTGCGGGGTTTGTGTGCTGTTCGCCTTCTCCTGTGCTGCTGTCACCAGCAGCACCAGAATTAGCCGCAGCCACGCCTTCACCAAGCCGATTAGCACCACCGGCGGCAGCAACGGGCACATCCATACCAGAGAAGTCTTTTGAGTGGACAAGGAAACCGCCTCTGAAGCCAGCAACGCCACAGCCAGAAATGACATCATCAAGAGCTACTGAAACAAGGATGGCATTTGAGTCAACTAGAAAACCACCACCGAAGCCATGGGCATCAAGGGCCACAGAAGCAATGGGCACAGCACCAACAATTCCTCGACTTCCCCAGACTTGGTTTCGGGCGGACAGTGATGAGGATGATATAGAGGATACGCCTCCTGGGAGACAAGAGGAAGGAGAGGCGGGTGAGGGAGGAGAGGCGGGTAGGGAGGGAGAGGAGGGTGAGGAGAAGGAGGAGCGGTGTGGAGAGGTGGAGGGGTTGCGACGGCGGCTGTTCTGCGATGAGGACGAGGAGGGCGGGGCAGCAGATGTGTCTAGAGGAGCTACTGTAGCTGGCTTTACCAAGGGGCGGAGCGCAGTGGAACGACCACCTTTTGAGGCGCCTCAAACGACAGCAGATGGGTCTAGAGGAGATACCGGAGCTGGCTTTACCAAGGGGCAGAGCTCAGTGGTTCAACCACCGGGTCGATTCACTGATGCGTTGCGATACCCACCTTCAACACAAGCAGCTGCTATGTGGAACGGCGCGCCAAGGCCAGGCACCACACGAAATGAGACGAGTTTTGCGGCGCCTCAAAGCGCGTCTCATGCCATGCAACATCCACCTTCAGCACAGGCACCGGCTGTTTCTGACCCCATGCAACGTGCGCCCCCAACGCACACACCAGCAGCAACACCTGTGCTGTCTGACAGCCTACAGAGGCCGATTTCAACACACACACCGGCAACACCTGCTCTGTCTGAGGCTACGAGGCAGCTGCTGCAGCGGCGCCTGCCGCACCTGCAGCTGGTGGGGTGGCTGGAGGAGCGCGGGTGTGATGCTAACGGTGACCCTGTGTTCATTGACTACCGCCACCAGTTTGGTGTGGGACCGTCTGGTGCAGATGCGGGCAGAAAAAGCCTCTCGTTTCTGCATGCAACCGAAGGACAAGCACGTGGGAATGAGAATGAGGATGGGTGTTGTGAGGTGGGGGGTTTCGGGTCGCCATGGCCGGAGCAGCCTGCTTGTGCTGCTGGGGGAGGGATAGGCGCTGGGAATGGGGGGGCGATGGGAGGACGAGATCTTGGGTGGCAGCAGCAGCTTTTTCAGCAGAAAGGGGGCAGTGGGAGGAGGAGAGGGAGTGGTGGTGGTGGTGGTGGTGGTGCTGCTGCTGCTGGTGGTGGTGCTGCTGCTGGCAGCAGCGGCGGTCACTGGGTGTCAGAAGGCGGAAAGAAGGTGAGGTTTCTGCACCATCTGTGTTCCCAATGCTGCATGTGCTGTCCATTTGTGCGTGATTGTTTTTGGGACCAATTAAAATCGGTCAGTGGGTGTCAGAACACGGAAAGAGGAGGGCTGTTTGCACACTCTCTGCTCGAGGTGCTGCATGTGCTGGGCGAGTGCATGCATGTGACAACAGCAAGGTAGGCCTTCACATATTCAATACTATTTGTGCATCCCCTCTATCCCATCCTGCCCATGTGTGCCTGATGCAGGTGTATGTGACAGCAACGGGGAAGACTCTTTACGGCCGCATTGCCTACCGCCAACACCTCAGGGTAGGACCTTGTTTTCACGGTTCACTGTGGAGTTCACAGTGGGGTTCACAGTGGGGTTCACAGTGGGATTCACTGTGGGGTTCACTTTGGAGTTCACAGTGGGGTTCACTGTGGGGTTCACAGTGGGGCTCGCTTTGGGATTCAGTGTCACACTGCTGTTCCAGTGATATGTGATGTGTGATATGCTGCCTGTTGCCTTTTCATAAGTGACGTGCTTCCTCTTTCCGCTCATGCATAAACAACTGAACTTGGCTTCTGCACTCTATATTTGCCTTGCCACAGGATTCTGGGAGAACGAGCAAGAGAGGTAAAGGCAAGCGTAAGCGCAAGTGATGTGCTACATTGTTACATGGTGGGATGGGAACTGTGCAGTGCAGTGCTTGGGTGAATAAGCAGCAGGTGCAGTGCGTTCAACAAGCAGTCCTCTTGTGAGCAATGCAGGTTGCTTTCTCTGTGCTTGCTTAGCCACCTTTTGAGTGCTTCACTAAGGAAGTGGTGATGCGTGTAACCATCTTTATACGCATAATTATCAAGGAGGTGCACTAGATAAGCCTACAGAAAATGAACTGAGATGTCACAGTTGTTATGCAAAGAAAGCCATCATGCAATAACAGGTAAGTTCCGGCACAACCTGTCATTTCTTCTTGCGGTCTATCAACGGCTCAGATTCATCCTCGTCTTCACTGCCATCTGAGCCCTCCGTTTTATCACCCTCCTTCCCTCCCTTCTTCCCCTCCTCCCCCTCTTCCTCCTCATCCTCACTATACTCACTCATGTAGTCATCATCCTCATCATACCCCTCCTCCTCCTCCCCTTCTCTCTCCTCCTCTCCCTCTTCATCACTCTCCCCAACCCCTTCTGAAGGCACCACTGCCCCCCTCGTTCCAGCCCTTGTTCTCTTGCCCACCTGAAGGTAGAAAAAAAGAAAGAGCAACAGTGAGAAGTACAATCAGCTCAAGTTGAAGATTGATAAAGAGGAGGATGGGAGACAATGGAGGGGGAACTGGGAGAGATAATGTCATAGGGAAGGCAAGCAGTGGAACAGAGGAATCGGTCCCTTCCCATGCACATCTTGATCTTGAGAGGGATCTTATCAAGCCGAATCCCACTCCATCCCATCACGTCCCATCCCATCTCATCCCATCGCATCCCACCCCACCCCACACGCACCTTGATCTTGAGAGGGACCTTTTTAGCACACCCGATCCAAACATCACTCATCACCATCACCGTCACAGTCAGTGCATACACCCCTTCCGCTTGGGGCAACTTCCCAATCACCAGCCGTCCCATACCTTCCCATACCATCCTATGGTTCGAGGTTTCGAAAAAACACATACCTTGATCTTCAGTGGGACCTTCTTGTCGCATCCAATCCAAACATCGCTCATCACCATCACAGTCAGCGCATACACCCCTTCAGCCGGCGCCTGGAACCTCCCAATCACCAGCCTTGCCCCGCCCTTCACCCTCTCCACTGCCTCCTTCACCTCTCTCGCCACCTCCGCATCATCAAACCCCTCCGCCTCCACCCTCTCTCTCGTGTAATCCGCCGCGGCTCGAATCGCCGCCGTCTCATCCAGAAAAGTCACCCGCTGCGACAGCCAAACGGAGTTCCCGGCTTGGTCTGCCAGCATCAGCCAGAAGGCCTCGTCTTTCCGGTTGGGGAAGTGGGGCATGTGCGGGTGGGAGACTATTTGCCCGTTGCCGCGACGCATGGTGAGCCACACGCGGAGGGTGACAACGTCCCCCTCCTGAATGCCGTCATCTGCGCCCTGCGTGATGCACGCCGCGTCCACGAGAATCTCGGGCATCGTCCCGAGTGTAGCCTCCACGTCACTGGCTTCTGCAGGGCTGAGACCACCCACGGTCGTGAGCAGGTCCGTGCGAGCCTCCTCTGTCATTTCCCTGAGCTCCTGCAGATTCTTCAGCTTCTGTTGATTGGAGTGTCGGGGCAGGGAGGGATGGGTGAAAGGGAGGGAGAGGGGAGGGCGCATGATGAGCCAGACGCGGAGGGTGACCACGTCGCGGTCCTGAATGCCATCGACTGCGCCCTGCGTGATGCACGCCGCGTCCACCAGCATCTCAGGCATGGTGCTCAGAGTCGCCTCCACGTCACTGGCCTCTGAGGGAGTCAGGCCGCCCACAGTGGTGAGTAGATCGGTACGCGCCTCCTCTGTCATTTCCCTCAGCTCCTGGAGATTCTTGAGCTTCTGTTGTTCAAGAGGGGAAGGAAAGAAGGAGGGGGGGGGAGGGAGGAGGGCTTCGCCTGTTAGAATCCCACAGTGTCACACTGCAAACACTGCTCACAACATTCACCTTTCCACGCCGTACCTCACCTACCCAAACTGCTTCTCACCTTTCTGGTAAGTTTCTTCACCACCCCCTCGTCCACATGTGGCAGCTGCAGCAGAGCGGCAATGCCCTTCCCACTCCATGTGCTCTAATCACCCTCCGTGCTTCCAGTGCTCCCACCCCACCTTCCCACACCGCTTCTCACCTTTCTGGTGAGTTTCTTCACCACCCCCTCGTCCACATGAGGCAGCTGCAGCAGAGCAGCGATGCCCTCCGCATTGCCTGTGATTCCAACCACCCTTCAGGCTTGTAGCAATCCCACCCCATCAGACCGTTCCTCGCCTTCACGCACCACTCCTCACCTGTCCACACCGCTTCTCACCTTCCGCGTTAGTTTCTTCACCACCCCCTCATCCACATGCGGCAGCTGCAGCAGAGCAGCGATTCCCTTCGCATTCCATGCGCTACCAACCACCTTCCATTACTCCCACCATCCCATACCGCTCCTCAACGTTCCCCACTCCTCCGTACCTTTCTGGTGAGTTTCTTCACCACCCCTTCGTCCACGTGTGGCAGCTGCAGCAGAGCAGCAATGCCCTCCGCACTGCCCCTCCATTCTATGTGCTTCTAACCACCACTCCTCACCTTCACACACCGCTTCTCACCTTCCTCGTCAGCTTCTTCACGACCCCTTCGTCCACGTGCGGCAGCTGCAGCAGAGCAGCGATGCCCTCCGCGCTGCCCCCCTTGTCCGTCTGCTCTAATCACCCTCCATGATTCCAGCACTCCCACCACACCATCCCACACCGCTCCTCACCTTCCAGTACCGTTCCACACCTTTCTCCACTCCTTCTCACCTTTCTGGTGAGTTTCTTCACCACCCCCTCGTCCACGTGTGGCAGTTGCAGCAGAGCAGCAATCCCCTCCGCGCTGCCCCCCTTGTCTGTCTGCTTGCGGGCTGATAGTGGCACGGCCTGATAGAAGCTCTGGGAGAGCTCGATAGCTCCTACTGCTGGGCGCAACCAGGCATGTCCCACTGGAGGGCGCGGGTAGAGAGAGATCTGGGGAGCAGGAGGGTAGGGGAACACAATAGACAGACGGAGGGGGAATGTATTGGTGGTGAGACGATAGCTGCACGGCCTGATAGAAGCTCTGAGAGAGCTCAATGGCCCCAACTGCTGGGCGCAACCAGGCATGGCCCACAGGGGGGCGAGGGTAGAGAGAGATCTGTGGAGCAGGAGGGTAGGGGAACACAACAGACAGACGGAGGGGGAATGTATTGGTGGTGAGACGATAGCTGCACGGCCTGATAGAAGCTCTGAGAGAGCTCGATGGCTGGACGCAACCAGGCATGCCCCACAGGGGGACGGGAGTAGAGAGAGATCTAGGCGGGAAGGAAAAAGAGGGGAGAACAAGGTAGCAAGTAGATGAGGGGAGGAGGGGGAGAGCATCAATGTTGAGACGACAGTGGCACAGCACAACACACATCAATGTTAGAGACTCGCCTGGTAACGTTAATGGTAATGGTAGTGGTAATGGTAATGGTAATGGTAATGGTAATAGTAGTGGTAAGAGTAATGGTAATGGTAATGATAATGGTAATGGTAATGGTAATGGTAGTGGTAATGGTAGTGGTAATGGTAACGATACTGGTAATGGTAGTGGTAATGGTAATGATAGTGGTAATGGTAATGGTAATGGTAGTGGTAATGGTAATGGTAACAATACTGGTAATGGTAGTGGTAATGATAATGGTAGTGGTAATGGTAATGGTAATGGTAATGGTAGTGGTAATGGTAGTGGTAATGGTAATGGTAATGATAATGGTAATGGTAATGGTAATGGTAGTGGTAATGATAATGGTAATGGTAACGATACTGGTAATGGTAGTGGTAATGATAATGGTAGTGGTAATGGTAATGGTAATGGTAATCACCATTACCATTACCCTGGTGCACTGGGTCCTGTCTGCTTCTCGCCAGCACCGCCACACACCGCAACGCACCTTGATAAGCTCCTCCATGAGCCTTGGCGTGAGCTTCAGAATGGTGTTGAAGTCCCGCCGCAGTTCTGCTGGAACCAAGTCCGCCTGCCGCGTTAGCTGCGCCAGCAGCAGCAGCTCCACCTGCAGACGAGAAGAGAGCAAGGGGGAGGCAGGACGGGATTGGATAGGATGTTTGAATCTGTTGCAGGCAGCTGTAGGGATGTGAGCAGTTCCGCTGGAACCAAGTCCAACTGTAGGGTAGCCTGGGTAGGCGTGTTCAGAACCAAACCAGGCAGAGGAAGTGGGGGTGTTGGTTCTCGGAATAGCAGTAGGATGTTGGTTCTCGGGGTTCAGCAGGATTCGGGGTACAAATCTCAGACGAGGCTGGTGCGGCAGGAATACTCGCCTTGATGAGCGCATGGAAGCGAGTCCAGAACTTTTTGGTCTCCTGCTTGAGGTTCTTGGAGTCGAGGTTGAGCTTCTTGGATTCTGCAGCTGGAGCTTTATTGACGACGGAAAGAAAGGAGAGTCTCACCTTAACAAGGAAATGAGCGAGAGCTCACACCTTGATGAGCGCAGGGAAGCGAGAC